TTAAATTTTGGAAATCTCATTAAAAACTGTACTCAATCATCTGGTAACTAACTGTAACACTTTTTTAGTAGGACTATTTTTGTGCCTCATGCCCTGCTTTGAAGCAACAGAGAAGAGTATTTAAGTTTGATATATTGGAAAGTTCCTTTTGCAAGCTCCCCATCTTAATAACACAGACAAATCATACCACTTTACCAATTTAGTAATTAATAAGACAAATTACAGAGCAAAATAAAAAGTCTATACCTTGGAAGTGAAAAAGGATAAATGACTCCTCCCTACCTGTCCAGTTTTTTCTTTAGTATCTCCCTCCTCCACATACGAGTGTGTCTAAGCAGGCCAAGAACACATAATAATCATAAAATAACATACCCTGGGACAACCAGGACTTCAGAATTTCCAAAATCTATCATGAATATTTGTATCAGTGCAACTTCATGGACTAAGTATTTGGTTGGACTACGTCTTCTGATATTTTCACTTCCTATTGGAATTAATTCAGTAATAGTTCCTCGACACCACATTCCATTTTCAATACTGTTGACAAATATTCTTGCACCTAAACAATGAGGGAGATGAATCATTATCAATGTTTATGGAGAAAAACACCCAATAACCTCTAAGTTACAAACATGTACATTAGTTTCACCACTAAGAAGTCTTAATTCATGTATTTACTGACGACATACAGTGAATACACAGCCCCTTGTCAAATGCTATGAGAGGGATAAATAAAGCTAGTATATTCTGACAGTTTCTGTAATACAGAAACTCATGAGCTAGACAGGGAGGTAAAAACAAAGAATACAAAGTCAGCAGTCCTTTACTGAGGACCTGTGTTTTATGAACTGTAACAAAGATGAATGAGACCATGCTGCCTCAAGAAGCTCAAGAAAGGAAAAGAGACAGGCAAATTAAGTTACTATAATACACTATGCAAAACATTAAAAGAAAAAAGAACTTCTAGCCTTTTGCATGTACACACACATGTGCACAGATACATGCATGCTGAAATTTGTAACATACTTCTTTGGAAGCATAAAGGAAGAAGCAATTACCTTCCCTCAATTAAAAGTGGAGTGAGAGTAAAGGAACCAAGAAAGGCAGAGTGGGAAAGGCCAAAATTAAGAAATGTACACACAGTGGACTTCAGAAAAGGGGAAGATGAACCAAGGACGTAGCAGCAGAGGAGGGCCTCATGGAGGCATCAGATGAATTACAAATAAATAACCAGGAAAAAAAAGATCAAGCCAGAAAGAGGCCCGAATTTTTACGTTTACAATGGGCTCAGCAACATTCTCAATACTTTGTGTGTGAGTTCACCTCCTCCCCACAACAACCCCATGAAAGTGGTCTTCCACCCAAATGTGTGAGGAAAGTAGGCAGACAGAGCCTCGTAGCTACTAAGGAGAGGTAGCAGGTGGTGTTGGAGGCCATCCTTTTAACTAATTCAGCATTAGAGAGAAATTTGGTATGACCTGGTCACAGATTATATACAAAGATGCTCTATAATCCCCTCTGTATATGCTAATAAACACAGGATAGCTGAGAGGCAATTTTAACTTCTACCAAAACATTAGTTTGGCCTTGAGATTGTCATCAACCCTTTTCTTATGTTGCTATATACCACATGACCTATATTTTTAGTTTTAAACTACATGCTATTAAAACATTCTTTCTTGCAGTAGGTGAGATACAAGTCTACTGGAGCTACTTGTTAGTCCTTATAATGAAGAACATAGGTAGGAAAAGGGAACAGGGGATACTCTGCTAAAGCATCATATCACATTTCTTCCCTTACCAACCACTTCTCAAAAGATAAATGAGTATTTAAATCATGTATATTTGCCTTGAAATAATAATTATCCTTGACAATTTAAAGCAAAGGATGAATTTCTGGCTTTCTTAGCATATTTTCTGAATCTAAACTGAGCTTTTGGGCATATATTAAATTTAAAGAATTATTTCCAGCCATAAAAAATAAGTTTAACACTACACTTCCCGCTTTAGATGCTCATAATTTAAACCCTGTTTTTTAACTTTTAAAATTATTATTCATTTTTGTTAGTATATGATGGTTCTAGTCTTCTGATATTCTGAAAAAAGACACAGACAAGCTGGGAATTAATCACACTTTTAAAGAACTACTATATAAAGCTAAACAGATCATACAGTACTTTCTGGTATCAGTTATATGCAGGTGTTGACCAATGTTAGCAGAATGAGAAAAATGCTATAATAATAAGTCAAATCATAGCCTCATCTTATTATAGATACACCATATTTAATCCATGTTATAAGGGAAGTATTTGTAATGAAAGTTTAAATTACAGCAAATCACATACAGCCTTAGAATTAAGATGGGCTGATTAAG